AGTAGGTGTAAAGATTAAAATGTACCCCATCAGAAATTGTCTTTGAGAGATCATTAGAAAGAAAAGTTTCTGTGGAAGGATGGAAGGAAATGTCAAATCACAGTGAGCTCCCAAGAGGACGGGGATCTTCTGGGGTGAAATGATGAGGTGGGAGGTAGAACCAAATTTTGGTGTGAGGAAGAGGCCTCAAGTCCTAAGACTAATCACCATTCTGAAAGAAGGTGTCAAACAATAATTTCCAAAGCACTCTCAATTCAGTTCTTTTTTAACTTTTTTTGTTTTAAGGAGATAAATTTGCTTTTATAAAGATTCAAACTGCATACAAATAAATAGAATGTCTGTATTGTAGCTATTTGGGGAATGCTATATTTGTGCTTAAAGACTAAGGTGGAATTTTCTACTGAACAACCCTTTCTGAGTCAAAGCCCATGACACAGTCATCCCAGTAGCATGAATATTAGGAGGCATGAACATCTTTTGTGCAGCCAGTGTTGTCTCTAATTAAGAGCCTCTTGCATTTTCCCAGCTTTATGGTACTCTCTGGGCCTTGAAACTTGAATGTGCTTAATGCACTGCTTTGAGACATATGTTCTAGCTTGTTTTGAATCACTTAAGTGCTTGGTAATTCTCCTCTTTCTCTGTTGACATCTGGAGAAATCCATTCTCATTTTCAAACACTTTGCCTCCAATTTGAATAATGAGAGAGGCTCTGTCAAGAGATGCTTAGTGTTTGTTTACTGAGAAGAACATTAGTGTTCCTTATTGCTTGCATCACAGTTTCCCAATAGTGGAAGTCTTTGGAAGAAAACACACATCATAACCTACCTTGATGAAGGGCTCAAGGGAATCTAATCAATTTTGATGAAACCAACATGAAAAACTGTTGTGGTTGCTAATAAAAATAATTTAACTCTTTTATCAACTTATCTAATATACATTGATTGATTTTCTGCTTTCAATTAAGAGCCTAAAATATATAAAGTTCTATTCCCTGAGAAATTTACTGTTGTTTAGCTGTGAGCAAAAGAGGCAAGACATTGAGTAACAGGACTTAGAATAAATGTGACATCCCAGGAAAGATTACTGTTCAAGGAGATATTTCTTTTGCCTCACCTCTATCTACCAGGTGTAGCTGTCATTTTTTTTGTGATTTTTCCCTCTTTACTTCTTGCTGTGGTCTAAAGGTGTTTCCCAAAGTTCATGTGTTAGAAATTCCCTTCTCAAATGCATACTCTAATGATGTTTGGAAGCAGGATATGTGTATGATGATTGCTTTCATATTTGACAATCCATTCATGAATTAATGGCTTATCGAGGTGGTGGTTTTGTTGTAAAAACAGGCTCTCTCTGGTGCCTTGTTCTGTTTTAAGATTAGATGCTCCCTGCCATTTTGGGACCTAGCAAGAAGGCTTGCAGCAGATGCCAACAGTTTCTGGCACTATGCTCTTTGACTTCTCAATCTCCAGACTAACAGCTAAATAAACCTCTCTTCTTTATAAATTACCCAGGATATGGTATTCATTATAATAACAGAAAACAAAGACACTTGCCTATGGAACTGTTCTCTATTATGGTTTTGCATATCTCAGATTCACTGATCAATTTAGAAGGCAGAGCTATCCTCCTACATATTTAGCAATGCAATCAAAGAAAAGGAAAAATGTTTGCTGAATAGTAATAAAAGTAGTTAACATTGATTGAGATTTTACTATGCACTGGAGAGTGTGCTTCTATATACAATAGTCAAATCAAGAAATAAAGCAGGAAAAAGACTGGGACATAATATATTTGCTCAGGATATTTTAATAGACAATTAGAGAAACTGACCCAAGATCATTTGAAGTTGAGGGTGAAATAGGAATTGATTGAGAGATTTTAAAAAATATTTTATAGAAACGAATACAGGAATTGAATCTAAGTTTTAGTAGGCACCATTACCATGGAAAACTATTTGGGACATAAATAATAGGTAAGTGATTCATCCTGTCCTCTCTCCTTCACTTTCTCTGCTTTCCTATTGGTGCTTTGCTGATGAGCATGTTGCTAGTGCCATGGGAATCACACCATAAGGTCAACCTCATGGTAGCATCACTCCAGTTAGGCTAAAGATCCTAGATAGAGTGGTGCATGAGTCTCAAATCTGTATCCTGGAGAATACACTGTTCCTATTTGGATCAAGTACATGAGGCTGGGATAGAAAGGTGTGTGAGGGCTCACATTTCAAATTACCAGTATGGTGGCTTGGGGATCATGTTTGTGATGAGGCAAGGCATTTCTTACACAAGAGTCATGGCTCAGCATATATTCTACACTATACTACCTAAAAATGAATAAGAAAATGAAACCATGATGGTAAGTGAAATAAATCAGATACATAATCTTAATAACCTTATGGCCTCTCTTATATGATCAATGCAAAGTATAAAGAAGTCAATAAAAATACATCATGGAAAGCAGGGGGATAGAACTTTTTCAAATGGGTAAGTGACACAGATGGAGAGAGGAGGACACGTAAAAAGAATTAAGACATCCTATACACATGTGCCAACTACCCACAAGAGTGTATTCATTGTTTACTGCAAAATGTACTCATAAAGATAAAACTGAAAAATATGAGTACAATCATATAATTAACAGAACTTAATGATTAAGTCAATGTGGGAAAGGGAGAAAGGGAGGAACTGTAGACAACTTCAAGAGTTTTTTGTTGAGAAGCAAGGAGAGTGAAGAAGGAGACCCTTCTACTAGTGTGGTGAGAAAGAACGATGAGGGGAGGAGTCTGTAGAAGAACATGAGGACTGGACGCCCCTCTTACTAAGAAAAGTTTCTGCTCAGGGTGGTGAGCTGTGAGTCTTGGCATGGACATCTCACTCATAAGACGATCCCAGGCAAACGGAATTGACTTAAGTAAGCCAGGCATTTCTTCTTCAGCCCAGCTTCTGTTCCCACTACCAGAGATATGGCTTTCTCAGATATCTTTCCAGAAAATTTGTATACACACATGCACACACATTTATAGATGTCTTCACTGTCCCAAATACACTTGCTGAACACTACTGTCTACTGAAAGCAAACCACCATGAAGTCCCACCTCAGGGCAGAATTAGATTCAGTTCTGTTGTGTTGTAAGTACAAACGTACAACTTGTCTCTTTGACTATAGTTTCTTGCTGTCCCAGTCTACCCAGACAAATTTCTTTAGATATTTTCCAAAAAATACTGATTTCCATATGTCCTTGACCAAAGGGTTTATGTTTGCTATAATCTATTTTCAAATTCCTCTAGCTCAGTTTCAGATGTTTAAAACCATAACTCCATTCTATCTATTCAAATGTCTAAAGAGGTTCTTCATTTTATCATTGTTATAACTGCAAACCTAAATCTGGATGCTTGCTTAGAGAATGGTCCATTTTTTTTTTCCTTCTGAGAAATATGATCTCTGGTCCCATCTTGGACCTTTACTTATGTTGTTTTCTGGAAGACTTTTGCCCTGCTTCACCTCAGAAAGTGTCCCTTCACATTATGCCTCGGACTTGAGTTGCAGATAAGGAAATTGGCCTTACAAAGCTAAGATAATTTCCTAAGAGCTGCAAGCCTATTTTGTGACAAAGATAAAACTAACTTTTAGCCTAGAGCACTAGACTTTGCTTCAGACCACACTCCTTTAAACTAGATTCCCAAAGCTGTATCACTCCAACCCTATTCCAAGTTGCCATGCAGAACAGTCAGTTAAGAGAGGTGAAATGCAGCAAATTATTCTTTTCACCATTGTTATTATTGCAATGCTTTCTCCATTGTCACCTCTCAGCGAGATAGAACATGGTCACAGTTCATTCTGCAGAAGGTAGTACACACTGCTGGTCAGTTTGCAAGGCTGGCAGCTGAGTTAACAAACTTGGTGAGTCTCTTTCTATTTTTTAATATGGAAATAAGGCTAGTATTCCTTGCAATCTTATTTGTCTTTATGTATGGAGAGAATGAGCCTGCACTTAGGATTATGATTGCCTGTTTTTCATTTCTTTTTCTTGTTTGTTTCAAACATAAAGTGTGAAAATTAACAATAATTATATAAAGCATCTGGATAGAGTGTATGCTCAGTGAACTTAGCTTTGTTTGCCCAGTAACTCAGTACTTCCATGACTTGCCCTAAGCAGTGTACATTGTTTTTTTTATACCTGTTTCACCTTCTTTACCCCCAAACCTGCTTCTCCCTTTCACTCCAGCCTAGGCTTCCTCACTTTTGCCCTTTGTATCTTCCTAAATGAATATCTACCTGGATTACTGTAAACTGTCTGCCACACTTACACATCTGGGTAAGGATACTTAGGTTTTGATTACTATACATTCAAAAACTAAATGTTTATCTGAATAACTTCACCCCGTCTAACTTTTTCTGGTGATAATACTCTACATTTGTAGGCAACTTAACACTATCATGGCCCTCCTCTGCTCCTATCAAGCAAACAAGAATCCACAATTGGGTATTTCACATTCTGGTTTATTATAGCTTCAACCCAAGTCAATACCACTGTGGCTCAGGATTGCATCATGATTTTCATCAGCCCTCGCATTTTTGTTTTCTGTGGGTCTTCCTCTCCAAAAATATTTAAAAAATTAGATTTTACAATTGTGTTACTAGAAAGACAAATGTAATCTTGGCTCAGTTTATCATATATCCTTAATCTTCTATTCATATTTTTCTTTTGATATCTGTGTGGATCCAGTGTGTTATGTATTCCATGTCTAAAGGATAACTTGGCTCTGTTAAGAGCCCAGTGTTCTTGAGTCCAACTATATCATAGACTAGAAACATGGCAAGGACAAAAAGGGACATGTGTTGTTGAAAGAAGATTAAACTCTTGATTCTAGCAATAGTGAGCTATTTGTCATTTTAAATCTCAGTTCCTTATTTCTACTGTTTTCTTTCAAAATTCTATTTTACAGAGTGGATCTTTTCAGTTCACTTTTTGGTCTATCTTTTGATATATTTATTTTAAGAAGATGGATCTGTCAAAGCTTGGAGAAGCTGCAGCCTTCCTCAGGAGAAGTGAAACTGACTTGCTTTTGATACCAGCCATGGATTTTGATGGTAAGAATTTTAATGGCTGATGGTAACACTTTATTACTTCTGGTTAGCAGCTAAGATCTTTGATCGAGAGGAACCATCCATTCTGAAACCAAACTTACATCTTTGAGCTACAATCAGCCTCTATGATCTCTAAGTGTCAACAATTGAGGAGCTCACAAAATCTAGGCTCAGAATGGTAGTTTGAAAGAAAGAGAAGGATAACTGAAAGGCAGCCCAGGCCCAGGTCCTACTTTCTTGGTCCTCAGACAGGAGTTTTGTCATCCAGGAGACACTATTACTGTACATATGGCCCAAGGAGTGGCCAGAGACCAAACTTTCTCCATAATGTCTTACTTATCTGTGAATAAATACCTAAACAAAGAGAGAGAGTATGACAGTCTGGAGGTGGAGGTGTACACTGAAGAAGAAGAAGAAGGAAGGAAAAAAACTCTAGAAAGTCAGGAAAATAGTAATTGATCTCTGGTCCTATTCTGAATTTCTCAGTGTTGGAATGTGGCTTTTTCATGGTGGTCTTCTAGGTTAGCAGGTTTACCAAGCTAACAGTAAAGGAAGTATAACCAGGAGACTTCTTACTAGGCCTCACAGTTTCAGGGAAGGACAAAGTTAATGATGATTTAACACCAAGGCCAAATTCTACATTGAAATCTCTAAGTTAATATTATATTTTCCCTTCCTCATTTACAATCTAGGCATGGTCATTCTTTGAATTTTAGCTAATTGGAAATTCAGAAGCTAGTTTCAGGGTATGATCCAGCATCAGGCCACTAATGTGTTTTCATGCCAATATTATTCAACAGTGCAACATAAAACTGAATGATATTCTAGTCATCAGAAATGGCTAACATTAGATTTTACTATGAGCAATTATCATTCATGCTGGTTATATGGGACATTATATTTCCATCAGAGACCAACCTGTCCTGGATAAGTTCCCAGTTTCTAGTCATTGAATTTATTTATTTTTTTATCATTGAATTTCATTACTGATATTGGATTTGAGAGCAGGTAATTATAATCTATCAAACCAAATACAATAATAAAATAATCTCTGAGGTCAGAACTGGTCATGTCAAGGCATATCACAAGTTGTTAGACAGCCAGGGACACGAGTATAGTGGTGCCAGGGAGAAAATAAAAATTGGGTCAGAGCTTTAAAAAATAGTTGGACAGTTACCTTACAGACTCAGCATTTTAAAGTTAAAGTACAGTCATCAAGATAATTTTCAATTAATTATCTTGAACAGATATTTCCTTTTCTTCATAGAAATGTATTGGTATCAAAAAGATGAAAGTGATCAAAGGTTGTTCATCAACCTGTTTGTAGACAATAGAGTTTGCTGTTTAAACTCAGGTTCAATGGAAATAGTGTGATAATGAGAATTTGCCTAGTAGTCTTGACTTTACATTCTTAGTCCTTGACCATCCCTGACTGTGTAATCAGAGCAATGCACTTCACCTTACTGAGCCATGTGTCCCTTACCTACCAAATGGGGATAATAATACTTGCCCTCTGTCTCTTCCTCCATGGCTGTAGTGACCAAATGAGGCTATTAACTTGGAAAGAAAACATAATTCTCTTAATAATACTTAGGAAAGAAATCTAGAACTTCTCAGTATCAGGGGGGAAGCTCAAAGGTTTCAAAGATAAAAATAAAATGCTATTCCAAGACTAAATACAAAGGCTGGGGAAATGGCTCAGTAGAGTAAGTGCCTGCCTGGCAAATGGAAGGACCTGAGTTCAATCCCCAGTACTGGAAAAAAAAAACCTTTCGAAACTAAATATAAATGATTTTATGTTAGAAGTATAATATCTATTATCATAGTTATCCAAAGGAATATGGTATAAATCCCACTTTTGTTCAGTGCCATAATTATTTCTCTCAAAGCAGTTTGATTATGGGTGATTTAAAACATTTTTCTTATTCATTTTAAGATTCCTTCAATAAATGCATGTCATCTTTATATTGTATATGATATTTAAGCATCTCTGAAAGTGAAATAATGTATGCAAAAACCTCCTCACTAGTCAGATGAGGAAACCAAAGAAATAAGGTGATTGCTTTACACTTTGCAAGGAAAGCATGAAAATCCAGACTGCCTAATTCAAATAACGTTGTTCTCTGAATTATTGGCTCTGCACTGTTCATGATGATAAGAAATTCATAGTTGACTGATTTCATGCATTTCATTTATAAAAACATCCTTGTGAAGACCTGAGCCTCAGACAGGGAGCGATTTCCAAAATCACTTCTCTCCAGCTATTTTCAGAGATGATGAAATAAGAGCTCATCATGGAGAAGGTGGTGAGCCTGCTGCTTGAGGGAAAATTGGAGAAATAAATGCTAAGCACTGGCTGGAGGAAGTGTGCTGTGATGGAGAAACTCTGATGTAGGACGTGGCCATTCTAATTCATAGAGTCATTTTTTAATGTCTAACACTAAGTAGCCATGTAACCATGGCCTGACTAATGGCAACTTTTTGTTTTTCCCAACTTTTTTTTTGACAAAGCATGAGATAGGGAAACAGAAAGAAATAGATGAACACAGACATAAACATGTGCCCACAAACATAAAGTGGAGGAAAGGTTACATTCAGGTCATCTTCAAAGTCATTTCAAGTGATGGGGCTTCCAGGTTAGCTCAGTCGTTTAAGCGCCTACTCAGGAAAACCCAGTCAGGTGCAGGGGACTCCAGTTCAATCCCCACCTGCCTTACCAGACCTATCCTTATGGCAGCCTGAGCCAGCCAAACAAAACAAAACAATTCTTCACATTCATTTCAAGTGATAATAGCTGTTTTGAAATGCAGAATATTTACCTAAGTAAACACAAAAAGGATGCTAAGTGGATGCTTTTCAAAAATAAGCATATATTCTTGGACATAACCCAAAGGATAATCAGTGTTTAAAAAAAAATAAAAGACTCAAAGCAAAACCAATATTTGAACATAAACAAGTAGAAAGCCAAGAGACAAGGAGGTAAATAGCAACATAAAATCTTGCCAAGTATCTTTTGTGGAGAATTATTTGTAGTCAAGAGAACAGAGAAGGCAAGAAAACAGAGAAAGTAGATTTTGATAACAAGGTAGTGAGCAACAAAATTCCTTGCGGAGACAAGGGTGATGTGGAATGGTGCCCAATTTTCTTGACTCCTTTGGACAAAGCCCTTCCCCGGTCCTACAGCCCATGCCTACAGAAAGCATCTGGTGTAAGCTACTTTACCTGTGGCAGTAAGGCTTCCTGCATTTATATGACTCATATATTACAGGTGGTGATGACAACTGAGTGACACTGCCTGTGAGTATCATACTTACAGTTTCTCTTGTGTCTTCTTTACACCATGAGCTAGGATTTCTGCCTTTCCAGCCAAATGCTCTCTCTTTACCCTTCTTCCTCTGTGGTTGAAGAACTTTGATATAAGGACTCTTGTGATCTGCTAGGACTCATTCTCCTCATTACCTGTCTGTTTTGGTTTGTGTATAGGTGTCCCCCCCAAAGCCTCACACAGTCATGGGGCTGCTTCTGGATTTTGTGGTTGATTCTTGATCCAATGATGGGATTGTGGATGTGAGTGCCCTGGGCAGACACTCTGCATTACAGTGTAAGGAGAGGAGAGAGGCTGGCTAGCTGCCTGAGCTGCTGCCACTCCCTTTGCTCTTTCTCTCTGCCTCCATCAAAGTTGCTCTCTTCCAGGTGCCACTCTACTTTGGAGTCAGCTGAGTATAAACTGAAACCTCCACTAACTGTGAGCTAAATAAACCCTTCCTTTCTTCATTTTGAGTGTTGGGTATTTGTCCCAGAAATGAGAGAATAACTGAGGCACTGTCTTCACTGTCTGCTTCAAGGGGATGGGAAGTGGTGAGATATCTAATCTAAGTGAGTGTGGAGAAGATGGCTCAGATCATACGAGTTCTGACTTCAGCTTTCTCTGGGTTACCCACTTTTTGGAGGGCTTCCTTGCTTGGGGATGGAGAACGAGGATGAGGAGGCTGAAGAGAGAAATGACACATGGGGGCAATAGGAGTCAGTATCTTTTTTTAATTTTATGGAAAAGAGTAAAACAAAATTTCATAACAATATTATAGGAAAATAATAATAGTTAATACTTTGCATATTGTTATCTTTAAAGTAGTTACTCAGAGTATAATATAGGGGTATAAAAATTCTCCAATTAATATTAGCACAAACCTTTCTTTTCCTTGAGAGACACTAGTAGTTTAACTACTCTGCATTTTTTCCGCCTTCCTTCCTTTTCCCTTTCCTCCATCCTAGTTTATTTCAAACAGTTACTTCCCATTTCAAAATGTCTATTATATGTTGTAGACCTCATTTATTCTTTCAGTTTCTCACAGCAGGGAGACAGTACAATGTTTTCATGTGTGAATCTGGTTTATTTCACTTATGACTATGATCTCAAGTTGCATCCATTTACTTGCAAGTATCTCAAGTTTATCTTTCTTTATGGCTGAGGAGTATCCTATTGTAGAAAAATACCACACCTTTTTATCCATTCGTCATTTGATAGGGATCTGGGTTGTTTCCATGATTTTGCTATTACAAATTATGCTGCTACAAAACAAGTGCACATGTATTGCTGTGGTATGATGCTTTTAATTCTTCTGAGAAAATATCCAGAAATGGAATAGCTGGTTCAAATGGACCCTCTAATCTTAGTTCTTTGAAGAATCTCCACTGATTTCCATAGCGGTTGCACCAGTTTGCATTCCCACCAACAGTGGAGAGGGTTCCTTCTCTTCCCACATCTCTACATTTTTTATTTGGTTTCTTTGGTTGGTTTCTTCATGATAGCCATTCTTTCTGGGGTAAGATGGACTCTCAGTGTTTTATTAATTTGCATCTCTGAAATAGTAAAATAGTGTTGAATATTTTTTCATATATTTATTTTAAAATAGTGTTGAACATTTTTTCATATATTTATTTGTTGTTTGTATTTCTTTGTCTAAGAAGTCTATGTTCATCTCAGATGCCTATTTTTGGATTGGGTCTTTGAATTTGGAGGGGACTTAATTTTTTCTATTCTTTATATGTTCTAGACACTAGTCCTCTGAGGGACAATTGGCTAAAATGTTTTCCCATTCTGTGAATTGTCTTTTCACTCTGCTCTTTTTTTTTTTTTTTTTTTTTTTTTTTTTTTTTTTTTTATGTTTAAGCGGGTATTGAATTCAGACCTTTGCACTTGCCAGGCAAATGCTTATTCTACTGAGCCATCTCCCCAGCCTCCCTGTCTTTTCACTCTGTTGGTGATTTCTTTTGATGTGCAAAAGGTTTCAGATAAAATGAGATCTTAGTTGTTGATTCTTTGAAATATTTCCCATGCAGTCTGGGTTTTGTTTGTGAACTCTCTGCCTACATCTGTCTTCAAGATTTCTACTTACTTTCTTTTCCAGTACATTTATTGTCTCTGCTTTAATATTTAGATCTTTGATCCTTTTTGGGAATCAGTTTCATTATGTAAGAAAAATAACTGACACTCTCTCCTAATATCCTAATTTTAGCATGTCATTCTTTTAGCGGACTTTTGTACAAAGATTAACAATGTAATCTAAAGAAATACTGACTGACAGGATCTGGAAGGGCTTGGGAGGGTGTGTGTTCTTGGGAAGAGAACAAGCACTAGGAAAACACCTGAGGACTGGGGATGTATCAGAATTAGCAATGTGGTTGACCCTTTTGTGTTTGTTTTCTGGAGATGTTGGTAGATAATTTTTGTGGTAAGTTTTCTGGGGATGTTGATAGGTAACTGCTTTTACAGTCAAAACTTTTTATTTCTAAAATGGCTTATGGTGTCCCCAAGTCTGTGCTTGCTAAGATATTTCTTGTTCTTACAGAGACACTTTATATGTGTATCTTCAGGGTAAACACTCACAATTACATATACGAGGGAATTTCTTATATTGGTGACTCCATGTTAACGAGCAGACTTACCAGATCATATCTTTCCATGTGAGAGTACTTAATGGCTACTGCTTTCTGCATGTACCATGGTTACAGTTTATTTATTTATTTATTTTTACTCTATAGGAAAGAAGAAATGCTGGGTTTGTGATGGGAAGAATTCCTACATCGAAGCTGAGGTTAAAGGGAGTGAAGAAGATGGAAAAATTATTGTTGAGACTAAGGATGGAAGGGTAAAAGAATATTTCGTTTTGGGAATGACTGTATTCTCTATTTCATCAAGTCTCCTTTCTATAAAATTGTTATTAATGACCTTAGTTGGAAAATGCCCCTGATTAATTTGGAGACCTTCCTTGTTCTTAAGGAGCTCCTCCACTTAATATAAAGATTTAATGAAAAGCATCGAGTAAACCAGAATAAAATGAACAGTCATCAAATACTGACTCCAGAACTCACAATCATTTTCATTTCTTTCATTCATGCTTCAAGTTCCTTTTTAAAGGTACCCCTTGAAATCAATAATGACCTATAGATTTCTGGATCAAGCTGTGCTTGTAGGATCAAGAGGAAGATGTCTAAACTGAATAAAGATAGAATAGTTTCAAAGAAGCCAAGAGATGAGGGGATGCTGAGTTAAAGTTCTGTGTAATACTAGAGAAAGATTAAGAGCTGGGAGGAAGCCTTGGATTTCAGACATAGGAAGTCATCTTTGAAAGAGATTAGGCCACCTGTTGGGGCATAACATCCAGATAGGGAATGAACAGTGAAACTGTAACAATCTACAGTCTCTCCTGCCTGTCCACAGGGCATTTGAAACAGCAATGTAGTGTTGAAAAGGAACATCAGTTAGATACTTTGCACGTATCACTGACCTCAACTCACCCGCATGCCACATGGAATGATCTGGGCCCCACTTCCACCTTACCTGGATGTACAGTTCCATGAAGATTTTATAGATCATGACTCCTTGCCATTCTCTAAATTTTTCCACACTTCCTTCCCAACCGTGCTTCAAGTCAAACCTTATAATGTACAGAGTATCTTTGTTTTAAGAGGGTTTGTCTTTTTTTTTAACATAAAGTTCAATTTTTTTGTGGAAATTTTTCAAATATCATTATTTTTACTGTTAAAGAATACAAAATAGTGACAGAAAAAAACAGCATTAGAAGCAATACAAGATTTCACTAAACAAAGTAATAGGAATTCAATAATGGTTGCTGTATTACATGATGCTATCTTCAAATTAGTTGTTCAGATTACCAGATATAGACATGTAAGATTCGTTTAAAGAAAAAAAAAAAGAAGAAAGCAATAACAAGAAGTTGTAAGAAATTCAAAAGAGAAAAAAAGACCAGAGTAAAAAAAATTTTAAGCATTACCTGCTCCTTTCAAAAGACTGGCAGAAATCGACAATACAAATATTCAAACTATTCTGTGTATATACTAAATACTTAATTCAGTGAGAATAAAAGTTTGTACTAATATTATTTAGATAGGATATCACGTCTGCATTTTGTCCTTTGAATAACTACTATGAAGACAACAATATGCGATGTATTAATTATTGTAAACATCCTACTTATCTGTTCTGAAACTGTTTCAATGCTATTCTTTTTTCTCACTAAAATGAATAAAAATCATAATAGAAATAAAAATTAAATTAAAATAAAAGGTAAAACAGATATCGTGAAAGGGAAAAATATTATTCAATGGGAAGGAAAAAGTGGGAGGAGAAGTTTTGTCTTTTTAATTCTCTGTGGGCTTAAGTAACTTATTATCTAATAGCATGCCATTTAAATTGTAATTTTGGAGGCCACTCATAAACACTGCTTATGGTGCCTTCTGAATATGTCTTTCTGAAAGCCAATGTCTACATATAAAGAAATCCTTAGATTTTTATTTAACTAAGTACTAAAACTAAGGAACGAACATTATCCTTTTTAGCAGAACGATAAATAGATAAACAAGGGAAAGTTCAGTTTTTTAATCTAGGAAACTAAGGTTACACAGAACTGGTTAGCCTTGAGACAGTATTCGTAGATGAGAAAAAGTGAAATGAACGTCTAAACATCTCATCTTATTTTTATCATTATTTTTCCCTTTTTTGTGTGTGATACTGGGGATTGGACCAAGAGTCTTGGGTGAACTCAGCGAACATTGCCACTGAGCTGCAACCCCAGTCTACTGTGCCACCTTTTACAAAATATTTCAATCAGATAAAATTGATGTACCACATACCTCACCTCTTTAAAGTTTACATTTTAATGTTTTTAATTAATATATGTAAAGAAATGTGGAGCCTTGAAATGATCTAGTTTTAGAATATTTTAATCATCCCCCAAGGAAGCACTGCACTCTTTGGCACTCAGTCCCCCTTTTTCCCCAAACCCTAACACCAGGCAATGGCAAATCCACTTTCTGTCTACAAATTTGAATATTTCAGCAATTTCAGCTGACTTGGATCATACAGTAGGCAAACTTTTGTGTATAACTGATTTCTTTTATTATAATGTTTTTAAGTTTATTCATTTTGCATCATGCATAAGTACTCAATTCCTTTTTATAGCTAAATTATATTCCAAAACTGTATAAATATACTGTACTTCTTTATTCATTGGTTGATGGTCATGTGGGCTGTGTACATATTTTGGCCTCTCTGAACATTGCTGTTGTCCACATGCATGTGAAAGTTTGTGTGGGACTGTATGTTTTCATTTCTCTTGGGTACGGTTCTAACAGTAAAATTGCTGGGCCTTATGGTATTCTATGCTCAGCATTTTTGAGAAAGAGCTTAACTGTTGCATAGTGGCAATACCGCTTTACATTCTCACCACTAATGTATAAGTAGTGTAATTTTTCTCCTTCTTACCAACACATCCTAGTACCTTTAAATTATAACCTTACTACTGGGTATAAAGTGGTGCTATATTTTGGTATGGATTTTATTTACAAGTCCTTCATCAGTGATGTTAAATATCATTTCATGTGTTTATTGGTCTTTATTTTTCTTTGACAAAAATGTCTTATTAATCCCTTTGCCTAACCTATGATAAGGATCTTGCCTTTTCCTTATTGATTTATGTATAAGCCTATTTTTTATGTTGAAATACAAGAGGATGGATAACTTTGTAAAGTAAAAGGGTTTAGTGTACTGAGTTCTGGAGGCTCAAGTGCATAACCCAAATATAACCTCAGTCTAGTGAGAAATTCATGGCAGATGATTTAGCAAAAACATGCTTTTCTTCATCTTCAGGAAAGAAGGGTTTGATAGGGGAACACCTATACCTTACAGGAAAATTGGTTTAATCTCTTCTGGCTCCATGCCCTAAGGGAGTATTTTTTTAATTTGAATATTTCCTCTAGGGCATGCAACATGAGTAAGCATAGGAGAAACAGGGTATTATGTCTTATTTTTGTCTCTTCTCTTCAGAGTCTGAGCATCAAGCAGGACAGCATCCAGCAGATGAATCCTGAAAAGCTTGACATGACTGAAGACATGGCAATGCTGACTCACCTCAACGAAGCATCTGTGCTGCACACCCTGACGCGGCGCTATGGCCACTGGCTGATCTATGTGTGTAGCTCTGCCTCACTGGCAAATAACATCCTCGTGCTCCCAACCTCTCCTGCAGCGTATCTTAAATTTAATTTAAATATAGTACATAGAAACTGTCCTTGAGAAACATACTCTGGGAAGGGGATTGTCTTAGTGTTTCTTCAATTCAGTTTTTTTTGGCATCCAAGTCCCTATCCACAGGGCATCATTCTAAGTGAAAACCATTCTAAGTGAAACATCTGGAAACAGATAGAACAGAGTCTAAGTGCTAGCTCCATTACCTAAAAGTTAAGATCCTTTTTTATTGATTAAATTTTTGGTTCATTTTAGCTATACATAACAATCACATTCCTCAGAGAGAATTGATACCTGTACATGATATACCTTGATTAACTTTTCCCATTCCCCTCCCCTCCCTTCAACCCCTGTTCCGCCCCCATCTACCAAAACTTCATTTCCATTGTTTCCTTCTTTTCTTATGTGTTTCATTTCCCTTCCCATTTGAACAAATATTCAAAAGGTTCTTATTTTTTTTAATGAGTGAAAAATATGTTTTCACTTTTGAAAAAAGGTGAGAAGATGAAAATGGAGGATCCTTGTCGTTGTGCATACCTATGCATGCATGCCTGTGTGGAGAGGTATAAGCACATATTACCACTCCTTAAAACACTCAGTGAGCATTCCTATATGACAGTTTTTGGACTTTCGAGATAAGATGTGTTCTAACATGTTCTTATGCTCTTGGTAGCAATTGTCACTCTGGCTCCAGTAAGTTTACACGTCATCTTTACCACTAGACTGTGGGCTCCTTGGAGACATGTCAAAACATGGTTGTTTTGCCTTTGATATGCTTACTAAATATTTTTGAAGTGAACCAGAAAGGGATAAAGTGACCCATTGATAGGCCCAATAATAGTGAAATGAACACCACTCTGAGCACATGGAATCTAACCAGAGGATTAGACACATGGGACTTGTGTTTCTCTTGTGTATGCACCTGCTGCTCCATGCCCTGAGGTCTAAACACAGCATCCAGGCCTATCTTAACAGTGTGCCAGTCACTTCTGCCAGGAGCAGCCAATGGAGGGGAAATGGTTTTACTCTTTCCTTCCTCTGTCTTGTTGAGAAAGCACTCACACAGGCCAAGTGAGGACAGTGTTGTTCTCTATCATACCTCTGTCTTGTTGAACTTTGACATCTTGAAGTCACCTTTTTGAATTCCACCATAACTTGGAATATTAAATAAAAGTGTACAGATACGGTACAAAGTTCAGTGCCCATCACCTAATTATTGTTCAATAAATAGAGTGGTTTATCTCATCATCATTAAACTTGGTGATGGTTGATTACTGCTCAGTTTCTTTGATTTAATCAAAACCTATGTATCAGAAGCAGCACTGAGAGATTAGGATAGAATGGTGGCCTCTCTGATTTACTATGGGTCTGTTTTAGTTTTATTGGAATATGGAAGCAAAATTACCACAACTAGAGTGGCTGAAAAGAATAAATATTTATTTATTCTCTTACAGTTCCAGAGGCCACAGTCATCAGAGGCCATTGCCATCTCTGACATTATCCAGAGGCTATAAGCTGAATCAGCTGGTCTCACTCCCTCTAGAGGATATGGAGAATCATTTTTTTCTTTTCCCAGATTTCTGGGTTATTGGCAATCTTTGTGGCTACACTCACTTCAATTTCTGCTTCCATCTCTGTGTCACCTTCTCCTGTGTGTGTCTTTAGTAAGAGATTGGTCATTAAATTGAAGGCCCACAGTCTTCAAATCTTTAGCTTAATTAAACTTATGAAGATATTTCTCAAAAATAAACATGCCTTCCCAGTTTTGAGGGAATAGGGACATACTGTCAGTGTATCTTTTGGGTAGCCACAGGCCACCCATTTCATTGACCAAGGCACCCTCATTAGCCATTTTCCATCAGTGGCCTGACAGTCAAGTTCCTAATCTTGCTGAGGCAGCAATTGCCTGCTGCCCCAAATGCCTGACGGCTGGTTGCTGAAATCCCTGCGGGCCTGCTGTTAACATTCTGTCTTCAAAAGCTGTATGTGTTAGACATGTTAGTAATTAGCAAATCTCCCAAGGGTGATGTAATCCCAGGTGTTGATGTTGGGCTGACCTGGTTCTGTCTCCTCCGTTTAGAAGGCTCCTTCTTTATGTGAATCAGAAGCTCTCTTCTTTTATGTTCTTTTCATAAGTAAATATTCAAGCAAATATTTCCTGCCAGGAAAAAGATCCAACAGACATGGCAGTATTTCTAATCTATTTTCCAAAACCTAATCTTCCCTCAGACGTATTCAGGTCTCTCCTGTGTGACCCTAAACCCTTACAAGTGGCTTCCAGTGTATCAGAAAGAAGTCCTGGCTGCCTACAGAGGGAAGAGGCGCTCAGAGGCTCCTCCTCACGTCTTTGCAGTTGCTGATAATGCCTTTCAGGTTATGCTTCACAGTAAGTGACTGTCCTACAAAATGAAAAGCAAAAATATCTGATCTAGTTTTTCTGTGCCTCCTAGGGCTGTTGAGACAATTAGCTTGCGCTTCAAAGTGAAAGAACGCAGCTGCAGTGCTGGGCTGGTGGCTGGCGTGGAGTTAGCCTTGTGGATGGCAGCTGCTGTTACATGAGGGATCTGCTGTGCTGTCTGACGCAAAGATGTTATTCGACAGCTATCATTACACAGTGATTCCGAAAATGCTTAAGATGGGGAGACTGTTAGCCATTATCTGATTGCTGTTTTTTACTTAGGACAAAGAAATAAGCCTAAAATCTATACGTTCGTCTGATCAGCCTACATAGAAAAACTGTTTTAAGCCTCACTGTTTACATTATATTCTTTGCTAACTAAATCAGCCAAATATTTTCCCTGCGTCTGGCTTCAGACAGAAGCTGAGCACATTGTAAGTAAGTTCATGCCAATGCACGAGCATCTGGCACAAACATCCTGGCATTTGTCTTTCTCTTGCAGATCGTGAGAACCAGTCTATACTGTTGACGTAAGTGTGTTGCCTTGTTCTGAGTTTTGGTCAGCACAAAGGGTCAGTGAGGATATCCTCTTATGTGTTACTGAAAATACAACTTAAATTTGCCCTTTGACTTGTTTGCTCTTTAAATACAAAACATATTCTCACAAGACTAATGCACAGTACTCAGCAAATTGGCATCATGCTTTAGTCAGTGATTCCTTCAGATGGTGCTTCCATCATTTAAGAGATGCTGTAGAAGCCGCAGTGCACAGCCTGGGCTTGAGCACCTTGTTAGCGAAAAGAGTTCCCAAATGGTATCAAGCCGTCAGCTTCAGAGGTTTCTGCACTGGCTCATTAAGAAGAGAGGTTAGGATCCATTGCGTATGGCTGGGGAACACACAGCGCACCGTTGTGGGCAGCCAGACGGGGGCAGGCTGCTGTGTGGTAAGCAGTGAGGATGAAAGATTTACAGAGATAAGAAGAGAGGCTGGAGGCTGGGGTGATAACTCAGTAGGATAAGCGCTTGCCTGGCAAGCACAAGGGCCTGAGTTCAGTCCCTGGTTCTGCCCCCCCCCAAAAAAAAGGAGTCTGAAAATGAAAGGAGGAAAGGACCCTAATAATATCTTATTGCATGTTAATTTTGATGGAAAGAACACAGGCAAGACACTAAATTTCATACAGGTCAAGGCAGTCTCTTGTCCTAAGATGATTTGGATGACAAGTCTAACAGTTCTAAAGATTATGTATGAAGTTAGCTAGCTATGAATGACAAGGAGGGATCCTTATTCATAACTGTCTGATGAAATGATTGGTAGGCTCTCTCCTGGGAAGAGGTCTAGATTTGGTCAGGATTGCTTACCTTTCTTCTTATTGAATTTCTAATCCCAGAGGAGAGTCTGGTTCTGGGAAGACTGTAAACACCAAATACATTATCCAGTATTTTGCCACCGTGGCTACCATGAGTGCATCCAGGAGGAAGCTGGTAAGTATTTATATATTGTGACAGGCAGGTGAGATGGCTCTAGTTACTGAATCAGGGAAGTCTTGCCCTGAGCCTGTATGGGAAAAGGTGGTGAAAAAAAAACACAGGAAAATTAACAAAATATAACAAAAGTCTTCATCTTTGCTTTCTCCCTGAGGGAATCATTAAATCATAAATTAATAATCTGAAAACGTGAATTATATAATATAGTTCAGATATGTTTTAGGGGACATTGACTGGTGTTTTCTTTGTTGGTTGGGTTTTCTGACCATTATACCCTCAATATTCAAATGATTTTATTGCAAGGGCATGATCATCATTGCTTTGAATGGCCTCAGTTGATAGTTGTGAATGTGGTTAGCTACAGTGCAATGTCAGATTCTCACAAACATGTAGCAAAGAGGTCTGTTTTTTCTATTGAAAATTCCTGTACAAAATCCTAAATGTGCAGAGAAAATGCCCTTAATTTTAATGATATTTAATGTTCTGAAAAATTATCTTCTCTCCCTATTTTATAAATTCTTGATAATTTTTGTTTCATTTACTTTTTTAACCCTATAATAATTTAGTTGGGCTTTCTAATAATTTTGGGATAATTAGACCATAAAGGTTGTCTTTTTTGCTTGCTTGCTTTTTCTTTCCCTCCCTCCCTCTTTCCTTCTTTCCTTCTTCCCTTCTTTCCTTCCTTTCTTCCTTCTTTCTTTCTTCTGTTCCTTGTCCCTTGCCCCTTCCTCTCTCTCTTTCTTCTCTCTCTTCTCTCTCTCTCTCTCTCTTTCTCTCTCTCTTCTATTTTGCATTTGTAATGTGATCTATAGAGAATTTCCTTTCCAAGAACCACATCTTTCCATTTGATTTATTTCTCCAGGTACCACTGGACTCTATTATTCCCTAGATAAAATTTTTAGTGTGCACCTTAGGTTATTTTTCTTGGTGTACATTAATTGATTTGGTCTAGTTATTGCATCTTATGAGGATATATAGTATAATGCATAATGTATGAGACTTCTATAGAAATCTAAGCTAATACAGTTGTGTTATTCAAAGAACAGCAGACCCATATTATGTAGAGGAAATGTAATATTTGTAATAGCCTTGAATACCAGCATACAGTATCGTTATTTTTATATAAAGGTCTTTGAAGATGAGTTCAAAGACCTGATGTAGTGTGGCTGGAAATTGGTTGTTCAGGCTTATTCTGTGTGAATGGACTGTTTCAGCCCAGCAACGTGAATGTGTATTTCAAATTCAGCATTGATGCGAGTATAAACCACTGCTTAGTGTGACCTTCTGAGTTCCTTTGGTGTAGTAGCAAACAAAATTAAAATTTAATAATACCAGGAGTCTACTATATTATCTCGGAGTGAATTTCCAGGTGTGAGGATTAGATGAGAAGAGAGGAAAATTAATAATATACAATAGAGTATATGCTAATATATATGCAATGGAGTATGTTTGAAGATTGATGATGGTAGTTATTGTTTGTTTCATGAATTATCATTGTCTTTTTCCACATTGGCCAAGGGTAACCGGAACAGAAGCATTACAAGTTAATGAGCTCCCATATATATTCATTCACAAGAACACTGTACAGCAAGTTGTGCTCATTCAGTTATCAGTTTTCCTGAATTCCCATTCCAAAGCAATACATTATATAACATGATTTGAAGGAAACTTGGCTACCTATTATTAGAGAAAGAATAAGGCTCTACTTGGAAAAGGTGTCATATGGTAGGATTCTGGTCAAAACTTAATTAGCAAGCCTGTGAGATAGCTCTGCATTCTAAGTCTGATAAGCTCAAGGACTGCAGTTCAATCCCTGGTACCACATGCCATGTAGGCCCTGTGCCATACCACCCACTAAAACCAGGCATGGTGGCACACGCCTGTAATTCCAGTGCTGGGGAGGCCAAGATAGGAGGATCACTGTAAGTCCAAGTAAGACCCAGTAACAAGTAAATAAATAATTTTTAAAAACTTAACCAGCTGTACATTTTTTGTGTTCATCTCAGGGGACTTTAAAAGATCAAATCATGCAAGTGAATCCTATCTTGGAAGCGTTTGGAAATGCCAAAACTCTAAGAAATGACAATTCTTCTCGCTTTGTAAGTAGTATGATTTAGCATAATATGAGTCTTTAATTTTTAAACAGTACTAAAATTCATGTCTGAGCATATAGGTGTGAAAAAATATAGAGCATCACAAATAGATCTTTGATTAAATTCCTTAATGTTGTTTGAGTTCTTAAAGAATTTACCAGATGCTGGGCTGTAAAGGGCTCAGGTCAACAACTTCTGACATTGCAAATCCAGCAGATGACCCACTACTATTATGGAATACTGGACTATATTGGAATATTTTGCTGAATTCACTTACCTACAATATTTAAATGACAATGGAATACCCTTCTCTGACAAAACTAAACAAGAAAAGAGGATACAAATGAATGACCATTTTATATGGGTATATACAAGATAGTTAGGATAGACATACAGCTACTTTCTCTTAATTCAATTAGAAGAAAGATTTGTACTAATAATGTTTGGACAAGATATCATGTCAGCATCTTGTACTATGAATAACCACTAAGAAGACGACAAATGCTATGTATTAATTGTTGAAACTCTCCTACTAATCGGTTTTGAAACTGTCTCATTGCTATTTGTTTCTCAATAAAATTATTTTAAAAAAAGAATTTACAAGGTTTTTCATCAAGACAATACAAGCTACCTATAAATGTGTATTGGAGAAATGTCTATTTGACCAACCTCAGGAAGAATGTATTGTAGCAGTTTCAGATTTCTTTCTTGTACTGTAGTGAAACTTATAAAAGCAATTATAATAATGTATATTTTATGTGTTTGAAATTCTTTTTCTGTACATTCTTGTACTCCTCATGGTCTACTTGGTAAAGAATTCCTTGACATTTCTTCTGATTTCAAAACATGCCAAATGTTCCTCTATTAGAGCTGTTCCATTTGCCAGTTATCCTCTAGGGCACATACTCCTAGTAGGCCAGGCCTACTTTTCTTGTGTGGCATATCCAGTGTCTAGAAGCTTTCTGGGATCATAGCACTTGCTCAATGATTTGTCTTTGAGAGAATGAATAAAGGAGTAGCTGAACAGGTTACATATTCATTATTCTTAGGTAAGCACATTGAGGCTGCTACAGTCTGGCTGTGCACCCAAGAGTACGTAGATAGCCACTAACAAATCTTAGGCCACCAGTCAGGACCACTGCTAACCCTGACAGTCATTCTAGCTCCCTTCAGACGTCAAATAGGTGCCACTTCATCTCAAACCCATGTAGCATTTTATGGTTTAATCTTTGAAGATGTATATGGTGAAGCCATTGAAACTCTTTTCAAAGTCTGTGAAAAGTCCGAATAGTTTTTGTTTCGTGTCCACCTAGGGAAAATTCATCAGGATGCACTTTGATGCCAGAGGCACGCTGTCATCCGCAGACATTGAGACCTGTGAGTAGCCTCGGCACTCTCTGATTGCTTTTCTCTTAAGTTGCTCAAGAACAGCTAAATATGAATCTTTGTTCATTTTTAACCTATCCAGATTTGTTAGAAAAATCCCGAGTGATTTACCAACTGCCTGGGGAGAGGAACTATCACATATTCTATCAAATTCTGTCTGGAAAAAAAGAACTTCAAGGTATGGACAAAATTTTGGAGCTGAGGGCTGTTGCAGAAGAAGAGAGAGAAATGTATTTCAGGGATTGGAAATTTCTGGGTTAGAAAATATCTTTCTTTTATCCTCAGTTTATTTAACTTACAATTTAGATATTTGAACCAATTTTGTAACCAGTGTTTATGTTTTTATTGATAGAAAGTAAAAGGCCACACTTAAATTTGGTAGGAAATAGAAGAGCATTTGGAAGTGGGTGGAAATTTGTGTGTTTGTGTGTAAAAGTGTTAGATAATTTAGGATATTAAATGATTAGAGCCACACCAGTGGTGTGGATAAGAAGCCAGAGGAGCGAGACATCCTCACCTGGGGTGTGTGTGTCCATCACTGGGAGTTTTGTGACAAGACAGGTAAAGGTTGGGATGTGATAATGAGAATCAGGTCTAATCAGGGTCAAGAGTGGAGTATATTTCCAAAAGGAGCGACAGTGTCTGCAACACTATGAAATGGCAAGTCCAGAGCAGGAGCAGAAGACATGGCTGGAGGGGTGTGTTTGCATAGAGGAAGGAGGGGATTTTATTCTGATGTTCTCTGCACTGAGAGAGCCTCGGGGGCAGGCATTTGCGTGTCCTTGTGGTTGGATGGAGTAGTAGGAGCGTTCACCGGAGGGAGAGCAGTGTTTAGGATAAAGGAGCTGGCTTGATGAGCAAGATGGGCGGCAAGCAGAAGTACGGGGGGAAGTGACTGCCACAGCTCCTATGTGAGTGGCCAAGACAGTCACTCAAGGCTGTGTCTATGAGCTTGAGAGGAAAGGGATAGATCTGTGCAAGATGGCTATGATGGAAAGAAGGAAGGAGAGTATGACTCAAAGAAATACAATTTGTGTGATTTGCTTAGGATAGTGGTGACACCATAAAGGAATGAAATTCATGTATTCATTCAACAGATACTTATTGTCAGACTGCTATGTGTATAGAAGGCCCTGCTATGTGAGTGGGGTGACAGCTAGCATGTGGAACAGACAGGTCCCTGCCCTCATGAGCTTATGTTCTAGCACTAAGAGACAGCCAATAATATATAT